CCGTAGGAAAACATCAACACAGATGAAATCACTTCAAGAGACATGGTGCGCTTTACCGAGTGCATGTTTATCAATGTCAAGTCATACTTAATGATCTGTGATTTCATTTGCAACATACTATATGCTACCCTCTGGTGAACTAACATAGCAATTGAAAATGGCCATTTATAGTGGATTTTCCCATTAAAAATGGTGATTTTCCATTGCTATGTTAGTTCACCAGAGGGTATATCGTATCTGCATGTATCTGCCCTATCTCACATATGAATGTAACCACTTGGCTTTGCCCCAACTTCAAGGCCCACCGCTCCCCACGAAAAAAATCTGTTGAGTCTGCCGCCTGCTTCCCGTGATTTCCCCAGCACGGAAGCACGGAAAAAGCACGGTGCTCGCATCATGATGCTGGCCAGGTCCACCTCATCCACCTCACATGTTTTCAGTGTAGAGCATTTGTATCTGAACACTTGCCTTACTGGTGCTAAACGTAGGGAATGGATGGGTTGCTGGGGGTTGCTGGGATGATTATTGATAGTGATTATGGATCATTCCCTCATTCCCTGCGAAGCACCAGTAAGTTGCTCTATACGAAATTTCTCAGGCCCCAGAAGATATGATGAGGCAAGGATCAGATAATGATTCAAAAGCCTTGCGCTGGATACGGTTGATGTGGTTCACACTCATGTCCAACTCCCCAAAAAAGGTCATGTTCCAGAATTGGGTGATAGGAACATGTACGGTTTACGGGAAAGTCTTATAAACACGATGCCAAAGCCATGGTTTCCTGTCATTTTTGTTGCCCTTACAGGTGCAGCAGCTGCGCAAGAACGTGTGAAGCAGGAAGGTCGTCCACTTGGATCGTAGTGTAGTTTTCTGGATGTGACTGAGTCATTTTAAGCCACGATTTGGTACACCAAAAATCTACGTTGATAAATAGTACACCATGCAAGTAGAGTCATTTTATTTGATAGTAACCGATGGGATTTTGATACGGCATCCAATTTTCGAATATGTTCGAAATTAATTCTATGTAATTTTATTATCATAATTTTGGAGAAAAAAAACCTGTGTTGGAGAAAACCCCTCCCTAATGAATCAGCCAAGGTTGATGCATGATGTAGAACGAATACACCATCTCAGAATCCACCCGTGAAAGGGGGTCATTTGACATCATCACAAATTAGGGATTTACAGATACTACAGTATACTGTACCAAATAATCGACAGTTGTTACAACCTCGGTATTGATCAGTGGGAGATCAAGGGTTATGGAACCCAGTGACCAGCAGCTCGCCAGACTCCAGTTGATCGTTCGTTCGATACCACCTCGACAAAGATATAGATGTTTTTTTAATCTCCCAAACTGGAGCTGGTGATCAATTTCTGGTTGGCTGTTTCAACTGTACACACGCATACACACACATTATATATATAGATACTGGATATATACTATAGGTATATATAGGTATATTATCATTTATATATATATAATTATAAATGAATGAATGAATATACATACATATATATCTATATATTTACACTCTATACACTCCACGTATCTCGGCATTGTATATGTTTTTCTTGGTTCCCTCTCTCTCTCTCTCTCGCTATCGCTCTCTCTCTCTCTCTCTCTCTCTCTCTCGCGCTCTCTTTCTTTGCATCAATATTACTTGTCCGGCTGTTTCTGGGAATTTGATATGTCCCAAGTGATTGCCCTTGGATGGGTTACAACCAGACATTGTGACTGTCGCAATCCAAGTAGGGGTGCGGCCAATGGCGGATCAGAATTGATTGGTGACCCTTGGAGCAGTTTCTTTTCGTTGCCTTCACTTTTATTTCACTTGACAATTTAGGATGATGGTTTTACTTGCTTTCATTTTCCGCCATAATTTAGGATGATGATGGTGATCATGATGATCCTCCCAGTGACGTGACTCTTGTTAGAGAGGAATGCATTGAAACCACCAGTCAGCAAGCAAGGTGAACGGTGAATGTGGTAAAGTGGAATTGAAACAATCAGAAGGCAACCCAAGTTATATAAGATGGAGAACAAATTCCGTATCCAAACGTTATAGTAGGTTCTCCTTTTCTGCATCTTCTTGGGTGCATAGATTCAAAAAATATTGTAACTTCTGTCTATGCATTTATCGGTGGCTAATTCCATTCCCCTATATATTGTTTAAAATATGTGTCTACTGTTTATCGCAGTTAAACATACATACATCTACTTATAGATATATCTTAGATTACCAAGTTTTTAATCCTATCGGTCCTATCTATTGGTGGTTCCAGGAATTGTTCACTGCGACCACGCCTGCAGGTGCCTTGGAACAGTTGTCCGGACCTGAGGACTGGGGACGTTGGGGACGGGACTGGGGAGCTGAGAGACGGACAAGCGCCAGAAGTATCTTACAATGATCTGGGTGACAACAAATACCATCTGGTTATTTAACATAGCCATGGAAAATCACCATTTTTAATAGGTAAACCATCTATAACTGGGCCATTTTCCATGGCTATGTTAAATAACCAGAGGGTATCATCAAATATCTTTAAGATTCCAGGAACAAAAGTGGAATATGTCAAAACAAAAAAGGAATCTATATGCTAGTAGTCTACAATGGAGTGTATAACGAATCTATATTCTATTGCTCTGATATATATATATACATGCTATGGAAAGTTTAATGGAATATGAATGGACAAGAATGGAATGTTGTGTAATGTTAACAAACTTACTGACTTCACATCGTGAAGTCACTGGAATGGTCGGAATTGTACTAGTAAGGGAAGTAATTTCTAAATGGCCGCGAGTTTTAGTATTTTCACGTTAGTGAATCATTACTGTATCCAGCCAGGTATGATGATTTTTGCTGGTTTGAATGGGCTAACCAACTTTTTAATGGAATAGAATACGAGACTTGATAGAATGGGATATATATACAATCAGCAATTTATCGCTGAGTTTGGTATTTGAAAATGTGGGGATTTATCACAATTTGGCTCTTGGTTCATGTGGGTTTAGGATCAAAATCATCAATTGCGCTGGATGGATTTGGGAGGTGCCACCATATATGTAGACTCATTTACACCTACATACACACATATAATATATATAATATTATACATAGGTTTGTATGTTTAAATATTATTCTGTGTGTGATATATATATATATGGATGAACATATTGTACATATATATATATATGTATATTATACGTATTTTATAGAGAGAGAGAGGAGTGTGTGTGTGTGTGTTTGTGTTTGTGCAAAAAAAATATATATATATTTATCCAGGCAAAGCATATTCAATATCCCACGTATGGACCATTTGTGGAGGCTTGGTGCAGCAGCTACCCCGGCGGGTGCTGAGGCGAAGTCAGTTGTCCATGTCAGAAGACGCACTGGAGCGAGCTCGTTGGGGGCGTTCAGCTGGGTGGTGTCTTGTATCAGGTGGATTTGTGTTGCCAAAAAAAATTAAGGAAAGATGGATTTTGCCTGTAGAATTTCCATAGTTTTTACCAGTGGATTGGTTTGCCTTTTACAATTTTCTATATTTTCGAAAGTTGCTATATCCAGTTTTGAATTCAAAGCCAGGCTTTGATCCGTTTGAAGGTGTTTCTTTATGATACAGTAATGAGCAGGACTTTGCAGTGACAATGTTGAACGCTGAACGTCATTTGTTCGAGCGCATCTTGATTTGCAATTCCCACCGGTGTGTGGAGGGGCCTGGGTGATCTACCCTTCGGTAATAAAACATGAGGGAAATCCCCAAACTGATGGAAGGTTACGCAAATCCAACAGTTAACCTCGTGAAATAAACCAACTTAGCAAACATCTCTTGCTAATCACAATTCTTCTTGGTGAAGTCTCCGTTCTTGGTGGATAAATCATGATAAATCATGATAAATCTCCATATTTCCTTGCTTGAATCAGTGAAATCACCATGTTTTCTGTTGCTAAATCCGTTCTCCGCTGTTCTCAGCGACTCTTGCCTCACCGCGGCTGCGCCCTCGGCTGGGCGGCCATGGCGAAGCTGCACCATGCGCAGACCTTGGATGTGGCGCTGCATACGGAGGCCGTGGAAAGGGAAACCAGTGGAGGGGGTGGTACTTATTGGGGAAAACATATAAAAAATGATGAACCAGTGGATTTAGGGTTAGTAAAGTTGCAAGTTGCATGATAGGCACAAAGCCGGAAACAAGTGATCGTATGTTCTACCTCTCTATCAACTTTTTCCCTAGTATCGAGTATAAAATTGGACATAATGGGATGTACAACCAATATCAATCAAAAATATGAAGCTTTAGGTTTGAATGAAAATTGCGAGTTTACAAAAAGAACAGCACTTTGATGGTGAATCACTACTTCTTAGCAACCAATACACTGCATTTTTCAGGGCATCCCCCACTTTCAACCCATGAGAGATGAATATGTTGCAAAGCACAATCCCAACCTTTTCCCCACAACTCCCTACAAGCCTCAATTTTCTCAACCTGGTGGACCTGTATTATCGGATCTATTAATTTTGGGGCAAATTTCGGTGTTGTTTTGGGGCATGGGGTGGATTTTTGTGCGAATTATAAGATGAATTTTCTGCGAAATGTATTGTCCAATCATTGTCCAATTTGTTGTTTATTTGTTTTTGGTGGTAAGTGTATGAAATAAGCATAAATAAACCATGCATGGAAAATAACTGGTAATAAAAAGGTATTCAAACCAGCTTATCCAATGAAAACCAATAATATTGACTTGTGGACACTTCTAATAAGTCAAGGTATGATTCAGTATATAATATATATTTTTTTTCCCAAGAGGCACATAGATGCGAGTCGCAGCGGCCTGTGCTAGGAATTCTGTTCAGTTGCAGCTGGAGGCAAAATGACCCGTCCAAGGTGTCATCACATGAAACCAGGAAAACAACAAAGCAACAAAGCAAAAACAGCAAACAGAAAACAAACCCAAACCAAAACCAACACACAAACCCAAAAACAAGAAAATTGATCACCTGACGTGGTCCGGCCCAATGTAAGCACCAAAATCTCGACTTACCATTTGGTGACACTGCTGCAGAAATTGTGTGTCCACACTAATCTGTTCAGCCGTGTCAATGCTTCGCATGGCTTTCACTGTACATTGAGCCAGCGCTGCGCAAAGGGCAGGAGGGTACTCCTTGAGCTGAGTAGTTTTGAAAGCACCTTCCTGATTCCTGCCAATATTGGAATTGCGTGGCAGGTCAGGGGTGATTCGCCAACTACAAATGTCATGCTTGATGGAAGGCAAATTCACAACAAGCAATTCAGTTGGTTTTGTGCTGTCAGCCCCGAGCAAACCCTGGGCTAACCGGATACGTTCAGCACCAGGAAGAGTGAGAATTAAGTGAACTAACGGCAGCTTCCAAATGGATGGAAAATCAGCGCCCTCTGGCTCGGCAGGGTGTTCCACAATCCCTGTCATTCCCTGTACGGCCAGAGAAAGAATGGCTTCAAGACAAAATCGAAGTAAAACATTACCGTCGATCACTTGTTCAAGTTCACGTATGGCAAGTGCTGAGAGGCCCCACAATTGCATCGCTGAGCGCGCTGGTCGTGGAAGACGACGATGTAGATCCACCCTTTCGGCAGAATGTTGCACAGCTCTAGCCTTTGACCATGTGGCACATGGTGGACCCCCGAGGAATCCATGGAACCCATCCTTGTTGAATTCCATCAATCCAAAACGCTTGCATCTGTGGGTCGCTCAAGTCGCCGTACTTCTTGTCGATAATGATGTCGAGGGACACGACATGGAGCAAGAATCCATCAGATGTCTCGCACAACTTGTCAATGTACCACTGAAAGTCTCCCACGCGCCTTCTGCCGGCAAACGCGTGTAGGATGATTCTGTCTTTCCCAATTGGTCGCGGAGCTGGTATGTTAGGATGCCATGGTTGTTCTTCTCGTAGAAGGGAGCTGCTCCACCTGTCAAAGTGGGCCAATTCATCATCAGGTCCACTATGCCCCAGAGCCGGCGCTTCTAAGAAATCCCATGCCTCCACTCGTTGGAGAGTCTCGACCGCCTTTCGCAAAACCGAAGGCTCAAGGCCCAGCATTCCAGCAAAATCATCATCTACACTCTCCAAAAAGACTGCCAACGTGGCAGAGCATTGTGTCCACGATATCGGCATTGTTTGAATTGTGGCTCGCAAAGTCTGAGCTAAACAAGCATCAGGCTCACGATCTGCCAACGCATCCACCAACTTGAGAATGAGGTCTGTGCTCTCAACCCTGATGTCTCGAGGACGTACTGGTTCCAGGCTCGCACCTTGTGTTTGCTGTGGCGGTAGAGCTCCGTCATGTCGCCGATCTCCATGTTGAGCCTCAAGAGACCCAATGCCAGGTCCAAGTGGAAAGAGATGTCCCCGTGCCCAAAGGTCTCGTCTGCAAGTGCCAACATTCCGTATGTGCAATTGCATCTTCGTCAAAGTGTGAAACTCTTTTTGACAACACGGGCACCACGTATCAGCAAAAAGGCGACGAATTGGGGCTGCTTGGCCGTGACATCGAAAGAAATGGGCCCCTTCTCCTCCTCTAGTTTTACAGCGAAGTTGACATTGCATGCATCCAAACACCCCCATGTCACTATGGGACTTGGTGTACATTGGCTCTGCTTGCGCAAGTCGTCCGGCCGCTTGCAAGACTGCGAAGGAACGTCGATGCAGCTTCACGACACCTAATCGACTCCTCCTCTGAAGAATCGCATGTCTGACTGCACGATTGATGAGTCGCTTCCAGTAGCCTCGATGGTGTCGCATCAGATAAAGCCATTGGTCAAAGTGAACTGCAGGGTCACGAAGTTCAGACGATCTGCATAGCTGATTCCACATCCATACCAAATCGTCTTGGATCAAACAGATCCATTCATGATCTTGAGACAGAAGCCCCCACTCAGCATAAGCTCCGCAATGAATCAGAATACCAATATATCTGAGCCTGGCACGCCTCAGGAGCTCCGTCGGTGTCGGCAGTCCAAGGAAATCGCAAATCTCATCATCATTCCAGCCATTGTGCTTGTGCGGCACCCATTTAATCAATCGCTTATAAAGCTTGATAATGCCAACATGAATGTGATGTCGATCTGCAATCGTACCAAAGCACCAAGATTCAGATCCATAGGTGAAGGCACTGCAGACAATGGACTCAAACATTTGCGTTCTGGTTTTCAGATCCAGCGAAGGATTGCAGTAGAGAACTTTTCTCTGTTGAGTAAATGTCTGATGCGCAACTGCAAGTCGCTGCTTGGCTTCTTGTCTCTGATCTCCACCATGATGAATGACACCACCCAAATGCTTGTAGCGGGTCACAACCTGGATTTGATAGGAACCATGTTCACCGACAATTGGAAACAAGCGTCGGCCATGTGCTCCATAGAACTGCTGGCGCAGTTGTCGGGACTTGCGACCACGAAGGGCAAGAAGGATCTCGGTTTTCCCCGCCGCAAGGTTCGGAGACATGGCAAAGTTCACACATTGATCCAGCAGGAGTCCTGCTAGAATGCCCACTTTCCGGACAGCTTCCTCAGCAGAGCTTCCGGCAACAGGTATGGCCAAGTCGTCCATCCAACATGGGCCGAGGAATGGCCTAAGCGGCAATTGTGGATCGACCTGCTCATTTGCTTCGAACGGGTTGGCCATCTTGCTGTGGAAAAGCTTCTAAAAGGCTCATCTCAATGCACTTTTGTTCCAGAGAACGCAAAACACGTGCCCATAAATAACCAAAGATGGTATCTGCGAAGCAATCGCCTGGTCGACTACCAGCAGTGGTTCGGCACACGTCATTGTCCTGACCGTCAACGACAAACCACGTGTCCGTATGTATGGCAGTGATACAATTGCGCAAAATTGGTGGCAGAGACGCTTGTTGGAGCGCACAAGGGTCTCGTAGATGTTGATGAAGATCCTCCATGACTGGGGTGGACTTAGCAAGGCTGTTTGTTGTGATTGTAGTTGGGTAAAAGTTTTTTTTGGTCAAATGAACCAAACCATCTTTGATATGTATGTTCCACTGATAATAAACAACAATCAGGTATTTCATCATTCTTTGATTCTTCATATCTATCATTTAAAAACATATACATATATGACTTTCCTCGTTCTTTTTATGATTGTGGTATTGCAACCAATTGAATTTGCCAATGAGAAAAAAAGTAAAAATGTCAAGGCCGCTCCCACTGTGAGATTCTTCTGTCAAACTTCACAGAAGGAGGTCAGCCAGTGATAACAGCAAAGTCAAAAGCTGCAATCAAAACTATGATTTTTGCCCGCTGGTATTTTCAAGCTTTCCAATTTGATACGAGTACCTTTGTCCGTGCCCCCAAGCAGAATTGGCCATGCAATGGTCTGTGCTATTGGATTTCCGGGCAGAAATCACACAGCGAGTCCCTTCGTGGAGAGATTTTCAAGACTATGAGCTGGAATTGGTTAGAAATGTATGCCACTTCGCGTGCCGGATCTGCGATGATACCGACCTTGCTGCCCTGACCTTGTGCTACAACTTGCTGACAAATCTGCGGTTCCAAAACTTAGATGCCGTTGACCCTTGGGAAGCCATGCCTGAGTCCAGCCTGACCTTTACTGGCGTGTTCAACCGTTCAGACGGCTTCGAGATTGTGCCGCTTTATATGCGGTTCAACCTGTTTTGTGAACCAGAAGTTCCAGAAGTGCTTGCAGGCCACATGGCGGAACTTTTTTCTGCGATAGGCGAAATGCCAGTGATGCTTCTGGCAGCTGGGAAGATCAATGATGGCGACTTAGAGTCTTGCCTCAGTAGTGCTTTGCGGGCGCTAAACGGTATCGGCCGTGCGTATTGCCGATATGTGGAAATAGATTGATATTGGTTCGAAGCGCCTCATGCAAGGAAAAACAAACACGCTTCTTTGGGAGTTGTTGTTCCCCGCTTCCTATTTTCATGGAAGATTTTTCTCTTTTAATGGGGAAGGGATTAAGTAGCTGCACTCTTTTTCAAGCAATGTTTCTGCAAACGTGAAAAGTTCAAGGCCGCCTCCTGCAGAGCAACCCGGAAAGCTCAATTTTTTTCAAGGCAGGCGTCCTGAAAGTGATGTTCAAGGACGCCTCCTGGACAACAACCAGCGCTGCAGAGGTTTTCTGAAGGCAGGCGTCCTGAAGTTCAGAAAGTCAAGGACGCCTCCTGCAGAACAATCAGCATCGCTCAAGTTTTGTCAAGGCAGGCGTCCTGAAAGTGATGTTCAAGGGCGCCTCCTGGACAACAACCAGCGCTGCAGAGGTTTTCTGAAGGCAGGCGTCCTGAAGTTCTGAAAGTCAAGGACGCCTCCTGCAGAACAATCAGCATCGCTCAAGTTTTGTCAAGGCAGGCGTCCTGAATGTGATGTTCAAGGACGCCTCCTGGACAACAACCAGCGCTGCAGAGGTTTTCTGAAGGCAGGCGTCCTGAAGTTCTGAAAGTCAAGGACGCCACCTGCAGAACAATCAGCATCGCTCAAGTTTTGTCAAGGCAGGCGTCCTAAATGTGATGTTCAAGGACGAACCCTTGGCAAAACAAGTTTTGAGAAGGCAGGATAAGTACTGATTGTTCAAGGATGGCTCCTGGACAACAAGCATTATAAAAGGTTGGGTAAGCAAGGATGTTCAAGGACGTCTCCTGGACAGCCCAAAGAAATGTATGTCAAGGAAGGCGTCCTAGATTCAATTAATAAATCACCTTTCAGCGTTGTTGCCGATGTGCCTGGCCACCCGAGTCATCCAGCAACTAAGCCTCACGGTACCCGAAACATTCTTTCAGAGGAAGCCAGTTCGCTTGTGATTGTGTGTCTCCATCATGTCCAGAAAAGACTGGCCTAGCAATGAACCATGTTCTCTTTTGTGTCTCCATCGTATCATATGGCCCAGTGAATAGAGTGAGTTAAACCATGGCGACTGCTTCCAGCACTGAGCAGCAAGTCCCGGACCCAGCGGTTCTCACTGCACTTGGGACTTTCGACGATGCAGCTCACCAAGCCAGATGCACTTTCAGAACATGTTCCCGGTGCAAGTTTATCGGGAACCGAGAGCGGTGGCTGAAGCAATGCCCCTGGCTGGACTCCAAGTACAATGTTGATAGCAAGCAGTGGGGCGTGGGCTGCAAAGTTTGCTCGGAAGCGCTGTCCCGAAGGCCAGAGATGATGAAGAAGTTCAGTCACCACAGGCATCACTTTGCCAAGTACGAGGTTCGGGACAACAACTTGGTGTTGGACCGTTTCAAGAAACACCAGAAGAGTCCAGCCCACCGGACTGCTGCTCAAATTCTGGACCCTGCAAGCAAAGCTGAATTTCTAGATGAAGGCGGGGTCACTCCAACGACTCAAGAATGGATGTCAGTGCTGACGCACACAGAGCCTGGAAGGCTAGTCCTGAGTGTTCCAGATGTGGGTAGCAGCAAGAAATGCCAAATGATGCGTTACTGTCTTGCAGAGGCACAACAGGCAACGCAACGAGAGTTTTTGGCGAACGCTGTTTGCGTGTCATTGCAGCAAGATGCCCGTGGAAATCGTTTTCTTGTGCGCTTCAAAGCCTGCGATGAAAACTTGGAAGTCAGACAAGGCGTGCTCCATTTGCAGAAAGCTGTGTCAACGGTGGATTTGCCTGGCGCCGTCGGGATCAGACAGGCGACCATGAGGGCATTGAAGGAATTCTTCACGACGGCAGCTCCACCTTCATATGGAGGGCTTGTCACGAATGATCCCAAGCCTCATTTCCACGAGGATCTTCTCCTCAAGGTCATTGACAAGATTGAAGTGTTGGCCGCGGATGGGGCGGCAGATGAGCAGCTCGCTTTGCGTGAGATGGCTGGAATGGCGGGCCCGAACATGGTGCAGTTGAAAGACACCATGACGCAGGTCTTCCCAAAGCTCAAGGCCTGGCGGGTCAACTAAATTCCACAGTTTGGTTCATTATTTTTGTTAACAAGAAATGCTGCAGCCGATAGGTGGTGGCCAAAGACCGCTGCCACGCTGCGCAGAGGATGCTGTCACGTCCCTGGTGCGCTGATGCCTTCTTGAAAGACATTATTGTCCAACTGGTGGAAAAACCTCATTCTGTTGCAAGGCTGATTGTGAATTTCTCAGGCATCAAAGAGTTGTACAATGATTTCAGATCAAAGACAACAGAGCCCGTGAAAATTAGCAAAGCAATCAAAGACTTGGCATTCGCACCTCAGCGATATTCATCCGAAGCCAAAGTTTTGGCCCGGTTGGTATTGACCTGGGACAGTTGCCTTGCCATTCTCACATCTGTTCCAACCATGCGGGGGCCAAGAAGTCCCGAGGGAGCAGCTTGTTTGGAGACATTGCGGTTCCTGGACAACGAAAAAATGCTTCAGCTTGGTATGTTAGCAGATTCAGCTCTCGAATTGCACCGCGTTGTCAAAGACCTGGACTCTGACAACTTTGATGAAGCTGAGTTCCCCGCTGAATTGGATCTCTACAAGCAAATTCTCAACAAGCTCTCTGTTGATGGCTTGTGTTTGACTGTTCCTGGCATGACCAAGCTGATGCTGGGGTATTTGCAGCAGCCGCGCAGCGTGCTTGTTGCAGATGTGGCCAAAACTTTGGGCGGCAACGCAGAAGATCCAGTCATGAGGCACCAGTGTCTGAAGCGCATGGCGGCATACACGGTGGTAGCAGAGGCTGTCATGAACGGCGAATTTCCCAGCTTTGAACTGATGGGCTGCTTCAAGGTCTTCAGCGTGTCTGATGAAGCCAAATCCAAACAGCGGAGTCAGAGCGGTGAATTGCAAAATTGTTTGCAGCGCTTGGCTCAAGTGATCAATGTGTGCCCTGCAACCCTGCAGTATGAGTTCCAGAACTTCTACCCCCTCGCTGCAAAGTACGGCAAGCAGGGCCTTCGCACGTTTGAAGCCTGGAAAAAAGCCATTGAGGTGACTGCCAAGAGAAGAGCATCTCACAGTACGGATGCGCTACTGCCTGTCCTGGCACGTCTTGGGGCATGGTCTTGCTCATCTTCGTCTGTGGAGAGAGGCTTCGGAATTGCTCTGGCTTCCAAGCAGCTAGGCCAAGGCCAAGATGAGCACCTTCCATCTGAGGAATCCGTGTTGATCATCCAGCAAGACATCTTGCAGGGCTCGGCGGCTCAAGACCGAGACTTCCGACAGGTCATCTTCAAGGCCAAGACTATTTGGGCAAGCTCCTGCGCAAGAGTGCGTGCAAGTGGCGATACCAAGCGCAAGACTCGGTGGGACCCAGGACAGGGACGCACTGTGTCTAATCATTTTTCATTTTGCTTTTGATACACAGCATGTCGCATTTAAACCACCCTTCCGTTCCTTTGTCGCAGGAAATTCTTCAAGTCTGGAGAAGCTGGTTTCCTGCAAGGTCGTGAGATGGTTACCCAGCAGCTCGCTGGCCATGCTGGGGAGAACCCATCCTTGACCAAGACTTGCACTTCGGCAGATGAGATCCGCCAATACATTGGGGAAATTGAAAGAAATTGCTTTCAATGAAGACAAGAAACGCAAGGTCCTGGTGGACGAAGCTCTGCTCAAGACCTTGAGGCCTGATGACATGACCCCAGAGGTCCAGAACGTTGTGCAGCGGGAGGTCGCCAAAATGGTCAAGAACCAAAGGGAAAGAACCAATGAGCAAGTTCTGCAGCAGAAGCGTGTGACGCAGAAGCAGGCCACTTGCAAGACCATGTGTTTGTTGTTTTTTTTCAATGACTAATTCTTTTCAGAATGTGTTAGTATAGCATCTATATTTCATGTCCATTCCTGAAGGTAGCTTGGCGCGACGATGTCCTGGTCTACGGCCCCAACCGGAATGTAGCAATCCATGCTGCTCGTGTGTTTGTAGCAGATGATCCTCACCAGTGCAATGTCTACATGAAATTTTTCGCTGGAGCCTTGGGTGGCTTGGTTGCGAACAACATGTTTGTGGACACCAAAGGTGAGAAGGGCATTTGCGTGGCCTTCAAAGCTGCCATCTCGATCATCAGGCGGGTGTTCGTTAGCCCTCAGTTCATGGCAGCCAACGTCAATTTCTGTCAAGACCTGCTGGAAGTGCTGAAGCTAGCGGATTGCAAGTGGCAGCTGCTGAGGAGAGATGAGCTGGACAAGGAAATCCAGCGACTTAATCCCAGCCGGGCCCGGCAGCTGATCATTTTCCATGCGCCTGCAGAGCATGGCTTTCCTCAGAACGTTCATTGCTTTTCTGCGCTTGATGCTGCAGTTGGTGATCCAGTTATTTGTACAGTGGACCAGAGCCGCTCGCAAAGTGGCATTTGCTCCTCATACTAGAAAGTACCAGGGGCGCAACTTCCAGGGGATTACATGGAAGTGTTTGTGAACAAAAATTGCTAGAGCGGCTCCTCTGAAATTGCTCACATGTGAGGTTTCTTTTCTTTTTTGTCTGTCAAAGCCTAAGCCGTGAGCTGCTTGTCACTGGTCCGGTGTCACTGTGGTAGTTTCAAATTCCAGAGCCTCTCACGGACCGAATGCAGCTACATTTTTGTCATGGCCGAAAAGAATACATGCATCGGGCACTCGACTATTCAAAACACTGTCTCTCCCTACCAGACCGACCCTCGATACCAGCAATTTCTCGGCTCTTGACAGCCCGTTTTAGTGCTCAAGTCTAGGCAGCCGACTGGGATAGCCTTTGCCCACCAGATGGCCACAGCCATGGTCCGCACAGTCGCCTTCCTAGCCGTGATGATGGTCCTGGTGATGGCAGGCAGTGATGATGCACCGCCCCGGCCTCTGCTCGGCAGGGTGTTCGGTGCTGTAATGGGCGCAGCAGCGCCAACTCGCCCACCAGTGGTGCCTGCGCCAGGGGTAGTCCCTATGGCAGGACCAGCAGTTCCAATGGGGCCAGCAGTTCCAGCCGGCGTCCTGCCAGCAGGACCAGCAGTTCCAGTGGGGCCAGCAGTTCCACTGGGACCAGGAATGGTGCCAACTGGGCCTGCTCTGCCAGTAGCGCATATGGCTCCGACTGCGCCGATGATGCCAGGTGGAGCTGCGCCAATGACGATGACTCATGGAGTATGGCAAGGAGTTCCAATTGGGCCTCCTCACCATTATCCTTCGCATCTGTTTGGTGCGCCAGGATGCGGCCATGCGATGACTGGTGGCGCCGGAATGCCCGGCCATTGCCCAGCTGCTGTGCCGCCTGACCGCTCCACAGGGACCACGCCTGCTGCTGGAGCGCCTGGTGCAGATGCTGTGGCAAAGGCATCTAGTAAGGCAGGCAATGATGTGCCTCCTGCAGACACAAGCTCATTACCTCCTTGGCGAAGCAGCAGACGTGGTGCGACGCCGGAAGCTGTTGAAATTGCCAGTTCGCCAAGTACTCCCGCTGCAGCCGATCCAGGGCCTTCGGTTCCAGCACCTTCTGGCAGCGCTGTTCCTGCCGATGCTACAGCCGAGCCAGGGGACAAGGGCATCAATTTTGCCCTGAGGGATTGCAAAAACTGCCACAAAGATAGATAGATAGATAGATAGATAGATACATAGATAGATAGATAAATAAATAGATAGATATATCATGTTCATTTGTACATACATGAGGGTATTTGTCTGATTAATTTGTCCATGTTGCAATTTTCCCATTCCAAGTCTCAGGTTTGGGCGGTGACCGCAGTGGTGACCGCATTGGCGGTGCAGGTAGCAGCCCTGGCGGTACCACCTACACCGGCTACCAACACAGTCACCCCTGCTGCCTCTGGCAATCCTGCAGCAGGATCCGGTAGCACTGCCACGGCTGTGCTTGATGAGTTCCAGCGTCAATTGCAAGGCCTGTCCTGATCTGAGCGATGGCACTTCGGTTTCAAGATATCTGCTTTTGAAGCGGGCCATCCCCAAGTAAATCATAGGGCCTGACCCGGAGCCAATTTTCCATGGATGTGCCAAGCGCCAGCACAGTTGCAAGATATCTTGGTTTTGAAACCGAAACCGGCTTCTTCTCCCCAAACCTGCACTGGCACTGCCAGCGAACCAAGGCACCACAAAAAGATTTTACTGCCTGCAGTTTGTGCAGCTTCCAGTTTCATGTGGGTAGACTGTGTTGGCTCGAGTTTGCCACTTCTGGTGTTGATTGCTCATGCACCATTTCCTTTTACGGCTCTTTCAGGACAGAGAGAGCAGCGAGAACCTAGTAGAACCTGACCTGCGCAATGGCAACATAGCTTGCAGGCGCCCCAGCGTGCCTCAACAAGCAAGGCCTGTGGAAATGGCTAAGAAAGAATCCAAACCCAAGACTGTCCGGAATAGGAAGGGGCAGAAGGCCAAGACTGGTCTTTCCAAGCCCGTGAAGCTTCCAGAAAAGAAAAAATCGAAAAAGCCAGGCTCCAAACAAGTCACTGTTAGAGAGAAGGTTCCGCTGGAGCCTGAGCTGCCTGCCTCCCAGAGCTTCTGTGGCCAAGCTCCCGCTCTCCCCTTGGGAACATGGACGGTGGCCAGTGACTGCAGTGGTTTGTGCACAGAGGGTTTGGCTTCGAATCTGACCCTCCCAGATGTCAAAGTTATCCACAAATATGCTTCTGAGTTGTGCCCGAAAAAAAGGACGGGCAGCAAGCTGCATATAACATTGTTTGTTTTTTGGTAGATTCATGTTAGTTGCAACCATTTTTTCATTGGGCTCCTTTCCAGGAAATTTATCGAAGATGTCATTGGCCCAGACCATCTTCATGCCGATATGACACAAAAGGAGTCTCTTCCAGCAGAGCTGTGGGCAGATTGTGATCTGTACTGCGTTGGATTCCCGTGTCAGAGTTATTCCAGAGCAGGTCGAAAAGGAGGCGCCCAAGATGACCGAGGAGCCCTTATGGCGCATGTTCCTGCCCAAATCGTGAAGCATAAGCCCAAATCATTTATTGCAGAGAATGTATTGGGATTGCTTCAACTGTTTCCAAAGCAGTTCAACTGGTTGATCCAGACTCTGCGTGGTTTGCGGGATGGGCGTGGGACGCCTTGCTTCTAGTATACCTTAGCATCTTTTTTTGTTTTCGGGGATTAAACGTACAGGTGGACACCCGGATTCATCATCTCACCGCTCTGCCGTCCAGATCCTCACAGGTTACAACGTCTATTGGGGCAAGATGTCTACCGTTCAGCATGGAGGATTACCTCACCACAGGGATCGCTTGTACGTGGTGGGAATTCGTGCTGACGTGCAGATCCGGGCATTCCAGTTCCCAACGCCTTTCCCAAGACATATCACTTTGGAGCAACTGTTGGGACCTGGAGTTGAACCCAAGAAGGACTTGGCAAGCATGACTGTGGATGCTGATGGATCCATGCTGAGCAACACAGTTCGTAAGAACTTGGCGCAATTTCAGAAAGAGGTCTCTCAAAAAAACCTCCTCCATGCTGACTGGATCGTCGACTGCGGCGGGTCCAAGCCAACATACATGTTGGGCAAGTGCCCATGCCTGATTCTCAGCAGGTGCAAGGGGAAACATGGTTACTGGAGCCAATTGCACCAAAGGTTCTTGGGCCCCAAGGATTTTTTCTTGCTCCAAGGCATCCCTGTGCATTCCTACTGCTACGATTCTTCCAAGCACACAGCTAGCACTTTGGGCGAGCTGGCTGGCAACGCAATGAGCGTTGCAGTTGTGAGACGAATTGTTCGCCAGATCCTTTTGGCCAGAGGCATCCTGGACGAAAGGGTTTAGTCTAGCCATTTCCAGAAGCAGAAGACAACATGACGTTGCTCAGAGTTTTGAAAAGTGACGCTGCTCCTGTCACAAGAGTTCATGCTCAGAGTCCCCTTTCGATATGAGAGTTTGATAATTTCAAAACAACACGGTGTGAAAAGACCTGGCCCCACAAGTCTTTATGTTGCGAAACAATAGGATAACAGATGATCTCTGGAACCATTTGAACGAAAGGTATCAACGCAAAGACTGCCTCCTCATGCCTCCTCGTGTTTTTTTTAAACATGATTTAAGCAGCACAAAGGGGGTCGCTGAGCCAGTGATGTCACAGCCTGCGCTGCTTACTCCTGTTTCTGCTAGTGGCGTTCCGGACAAAATCCTAGAGAGAGAAAGAGGGAGGGAGAGGGAGAGAGAGAGAGAGAGAGACTACCTTCATGAAGACATGTCTGATAACATCTGATATATAACTATGAGTTGGATCTGGTCAGAAATTCATGGCCCTGTGCTTTGCTGCCCTGACCTTGCGCTACAACATCCTGACACATTGAATCCCGTTGTCCCTTGCAGGAAGGACATGCTTCAGTTCCAACCTGTCCTTTGGCTCTCTTCCATACTTCGAGGTTTTAGTTATCGGCGCTTGTCAGCCTGATAATTTGAAAATTTGCTTGCGCTTCCTATCCAGCGTTAAGTCTGAGAGACGCTGGCAAGGATACTTCTTTTGGCAACGAAACGTCAAGTCCTTCACCTCCTGTGAGCGTGGGACCAAGGAGGCGTCCCACGCCTCCTGCACCCACCCTAAGGAAGGCATTGAGGGAGGGACATGGGAGGCGCTGAGTTAGTTTGTTGGCGAGCGCCACCGTGTGCAGCGGGGAGGGGCTGCACACAAATTTGGAATGTTGACATCTTTCCCAGAAAGAATTTCAAAGAAATGTTGAGGTAGGTCATATATGTATATGTTTTTAAATGATAGGTATGAAGAATCAAAGAATGATGATACCTGATTGTTGTTATTATCAGTGGAACATACATATCAAAGATGGCCTGGTTCATTTGACCATAAAACTTTTACTCAACTACAATCACAACAAACAGCCTTGCTAAGTCCACCCCAGATGATCGATGGCGGAAGCCCAAGCCGTTTGGCTACATCTGCAATGTCCTGGTCATCCCAGCGATTTTGCATTGCAAGTGGTCGAAGGACTCGATAGAAAGCTTCCTTAAGATCAAGGAAAATGATGCAGCAAGAACGATTCAACTTCTTTTGCAGTCTCAGGAATGCCCGCAAGTGATGGATGCCAAGGTAGACAGGGATACCTGGCCGTCCTCCAAGCTGTTGGTTTTGTAAGAACTGCTCGTAGAAGTTGGTCTGATTCATTCTTAATGTGCGATGCAAACATTTTCCGATTTGTGAGGAGACCAAAAGACTGCGGTACGACGCGCAGTCATCAACATCACCTTTCCCTTTGTAAGCTGCAGTGAGACGGCCACCCTTATGAGGGATGGCCTCTTGCCCATGGAGGGTCATCTTGAGCAGTTGTGAAAAGGTGGCACGCGCAAATTGGCCAGCATTGTATTTGCATGCTTCCGGAGGGATGGAGTCCATGCCAACAGCTCGACCAATGCGTACATGGGAGTAAGATACCCTCAAGTTGGAAGGTTCTAGAATGCCCCCCCCCCTGGGTATAAACACGGAGGGTCCTAGAATGATTTTTTTTCATTGTAGAACCCCCGGTCCCGTAAGCATTGTAGAACCCTGGAAGCTTGTATAATACAGCATAATATATTTTAATATTTATAATATATTATAATAACATATGATGATGTATCTGTACGATTTAATTCGACGTCACGACGTCACCCCGAATTAACGAGGCAGAATTTTGAAATTAAGGGGATTTGTACATAAAGTGCAGAAGGTCAAATAAGATCAAATAAGGCCTTAACAACGTTACAGAGAAATACAGCTATTTAATGCTATTTCATGATATTTCAGCATTGGTCTATAATACCAACAGTTGATTTGGAAACACATTGATCTGGAATGTCCCAATTTCTCTTGTGGAGAGGAGGGAAGGGTTCTAGAATGGTTTCCTGCATGTACCAAAGTGTGATTCAACATCCGTGGCCCATGGATTCCATTTCAGAACGCATAGATGTAGCTCTATACACAGAAGGTCAAATAAGATCAAATAAGGCCTTAACAACGTTATAGAGAAATACAGCTACTTAATGCTATTTCATGATATTTCAGCATTGGTCACAATACCAACAGTTGATTTGGAAACACATTGATCTGGAATGTCCCAATTTCTCTTGTGGAGAGGAGGGAAGGGTTCTAGAATGGTTTCCTTCAGGTACCAAGGTGTGATTCAACATCTGTGGCTCATGGATTCCATTTCAGAACGCGTAGATGTAGCTCTATACACAGAAGGCCAAATAAGATCAAATAAGGCCTTAACAACGTTGCAGAGAAATACAACTACTTAATGCTATTTCATGATATTTCAGCATTGGTCTAGAATACCAACAGTTGATTTGGAAACACATTGATCTGGAATGTCCCAATTTTTCTTGTGGAGAGGAGGGAAGGGTTCTAGAATGGTTTCTTTCATGTACCAAAGTGTGATTCAACATCCGTGGCCCATGGATTCCATTTCAGAACGCATAGATGTAGCTCTATACACAGAAAGTCAAATAAGATCAAATAAGGCCTTAACAACGTTACAGAGAAATACAGCTATTTAATGCTACTTCATGATATTTCAGCATTGGTCTATAATACCAACGGTTGATTTGGAAACACTGGTCCATTACAAGAAGTGAAGATGTTGAAGAGTTTGACGCATGAGTGCATCATCGAGTATATAAAGTTTTGGATGATTTTTAATGTTTTTTTTTTAAGGGTGGAAGATACCATTTCAGAACCCATTTTAGAACCCAAAAACGGAATAGTGGCCAACAATTTTAGGTTCTAAGACCCCCCTTGTAGATTCCATTTTAGAACCCATATTTGGGTTCTAAAATGGTCCCCAAGGGGGGTTGAAGCAACTTGAGAGGATGGAGTAAGCACGTTCCAAATCACAAAGCGTTGGTAGTGTCTCCAAGTTCAAGTCAAACTGATGCTGCCGGAAGTGCTTCAAATTGTCGATCCAACCTTCTCTGAGCTCATGGTGTGATAAACGCCTTCCTCCTTCCATATTGCAAAAGAATTCAGCCCATCGATCACTCCTCTGGCTGCCAGACGCACAGTGTGTGCCGTCATCATTCTTCAGCAGTGGAAATGGGCGTCTCTTGATCTTTTTCGGATTCGTGGGTCCCTGAATTTTGTGAATGGCTTGTAATATCTGACCAGCACTGGCTTCTCCTGGCAGCTGTTCAAGTCGGCTTTGAAGCAAGTGCGCTTTCGCCTTGCACAGTCGGACCTTCAGCTGCTGAGCAACATTGTGGAGTTGAGCCATGCAACGCACAGAGCAGCACGCTAGGGTGGCTGAATAACATCGGACAGAGTCCACCTGCTGCTGATCTCCAATCTGTCGGGTCCAAGCACGCCAAATTTGAAACAACAGTTCAATCTTCTGTCTTCGATGGATTTCACGTAGGGTTTTGCGATGACGGAGTTTCAACGTTCGCAATGCCCAGGTTTTTTCATCCAAATAGGGTTTCTTGGGGCCTCTTTTCCGACTGGGGTGCGTCTTTTCCATGGCTGTGATGACAAACTCATTGAAATGATCAACATGTTGTTCAATGTTGTGAGCCCAGCATGGGACCTTGTAATCCTTCATGTCAGTCTGCAGACTCAAACGGCTAAGATCAGCCCTTTCAAAACCTTGTTTCTGATGTGCCGTCTGCAAACTTTGTTGACTACATCCTTGCCAATGTAACTGCACGCCCACCAGTTCATGGTCAATGTGGGTCAGTCCAAGGTCAAAGTTCTCGTCAACAATAGAAAATTCGCATTTCGAACGTAGAGACTGCGGTATGACAACATGATCAATGCGACATTGCAGCTCACCCGAGGGTGACGTCCAGGTGGAATGCTTGCCAACATGTGTTGAAAAGGTCGCTGGGAGACAAAGTTCTTGTTCCTCCAAAAACGCTCTCAACATTGGTGTGCTGGCACTTGGCGCATCTTCATGAGGACCCACAAGAATATCGTCACGCACTCCTGCTGCTGCATTCGCATCAAGCAGTGCAAACAAGTACTGTGAGTCGCAGGCTCTTTGTCGCGTGCAGAGCTCTCCACAGAAATGCCACCATTGCTCTCGATCTGAGAGTGGCTGTCCACTTTGAGGACCATGACCAACCAAAACCAAAGCATTCAGGAATGGTGCATCAATGGAGACCAGAAGTGTGCGGGGATCAGCATGTCGAACTGTGAAGTGTCTGCGGTGGAAAAACTGCGGTTTACCCAGCACGTAAGCGTAAGGCTGTTTCAGACTAATCCATAGCTCAGTTCCGTGATGCCCTTTGTAGGCTCCAGAGGCAATGCGTACAACTTCACCTGCTGTCGAACAGCTCTGAGGACTTCGAGCTTCTTGAATGCCCAGAATATTAAGGCAGGTATCACGAAATTGTTGGCGTAAGTACTCAACTTTGCCTCCGTGTCCCTCTGGTCCGGCGGACAGCGAGAGGACGTTCACGGTCGCAAGACTGAGCAGAAAGGTCACTCCAACATCTTGGACCTTTGCAGCAGGTGTCAGAGCGTATGGGCTACATCTGTCAGGCAGTGTAGGAGCCGACGCATCAAACCCTTGTTGTGTAAATGGAGGCACTCCCGCATCCTTTGCAAATATCATCCAGAGGTGTGGCATGGCATGTTGCCATTTCCGGACATCAAAGGTCTTCGGTCTCGGGAGGTAGAAGCTCTTTTCTCGTTCAACTTTGGCTGCGTAATCAACAAAGTCGTTCCATGGGTCCTGTGAGTGACCTTTCACATGGCGCACATCAAGTCGTCGTCCAGGAAGGCAGGTTTCAAGAGCTTGAAACACACTTCTCAACATGATGAAAGGTTGCTGGTAGTCATTGGTGCTAAGACTGCCAGATGCTTGTCCACAGGAAATGGAGGAATCCGAGCAGAATACTGTCGGGATATCCAAATTAATGGACAACCTCCAGAGCGCTGCCCAGAACAGTGCCTCCTTTTCGGATGCGTCAGAGCCAATTCTGTCAGTGCCAAGGAAGAATTTGCTATTGGAATCGTAGTGCACAGGTTGGGCTTGCCAGCCAATGAGTCGAATGATCTGCTGATCGTCAGAATAGCACTCTCCCAAGGCGACAAACGCCCAAGTGTCTGAAAATCCTTGCTCATCAGAAAGGGCAGGTGGTTGGTGTCTGAGGTGGCTCATGGAGGATCCATCAGTGTAAATCACGATCCTTTCAATATCTTGCATCTTGCAGCTTGTAGACCAGTCAAAGAAGGGTGCCATTGCCGTTGAGGGCGGAAGTTGCAGACCTTCAAATGTTGTGCAAAGTGGGAATTCCTCTTGCGAGAAGAACGATGCCAATGTTGCTACATCGACTCCTAAACTGAGTTTGCATGGTCCACATTCCACAGGGAGGTCTTCACAGCAAAAGTTGGGCCGAGGCTGTGTCCTCAGCTCCGCAGGAGTGCGGTCAGGCCACGGTGTTGGCGGTCTTAACTGCAGGCTTCCTGGATCAAGGATGGACATTTGAGGTACAAAGACGACCTTATATACATCTGGCAGACACTGAATGATCGCTTGGATAGTTGTCTTGAAATATCCCAAGCTGTGCAGAATCTTCATGCAGTCCAACTCGTTCAATACATCCCCTTTGTGGGAGTGTAGAAAAGCTGCATTCGGATCTGTGCCGTCCGTGCTGCCAAAGATATAGTGTCGAACACTGTCATCATGTATACGATCGCGAGAAAGACAGAGGAATTCATGGTGCCCCGCAAATTGAAATACATAGCAATCATGACCCCAGTGCTTTAACTCATCAACGATCTTGCTTTCAGTGGGCACACCATCAATTTCCAGAAAGGAGGGCACCTGGACAGTGAGGTCCCCTGCACGTAGCCTGACAGCATATGATGGGCCCTCATCGGATTTCTGGTCTTGTTCACTATCATCGACAAGAGCTTCTTCGATACAAATTGTTCTTCTTTGTGCCTTTGTTTGCAGAAGAGTTGGGCCATGTTGTGCCTCAAGCAGTTCAGCGGTGTGTGGCAGATAGTCAGCAAGGCGAAATTGCCAAATCTGAAGCGAAATACCATAACCACTCCTTCCAGCTAGAGGTTGTCCGCGGTGAAGTTGTATCTGAAGATACCATGCAGCAAAACCATGAGATGGGATGGTCGCAAGGCAGTGCGTCTCATGCCCAACAACTCGCAGTAAATTGTCAACAAGAATATGCTCATGTGTTGTGACAGCGATGTTGTAGTGCAAGCTCGGACGGTCTGGCCGAGCTTCGTAGACACTCACTAAGCTTGTGACCCAGTCTTCTCGCTCTTGTTGCACCAAAATGACATGCGCTGCAACAGCATTCGTACCACTTGGAGGTTTCGGGTGGACGACGTAGAAATCAATGTTGCTTCTTGCGTCAACATATTCAATCCACAATCTCCGTAGCTCATCTTCCCATTGCCAATAATTGGCAAAGAGTTGCTTTTGTCTGCTGTTGCGGCAGTGTGGATTCTGCCATCTGTGGTCAACAAACCAGGTCTCGATTGTGCAAGAAGGCATTTCTTCATCCCAAACGGCAGCATGTTGGTTCCACTGTGCAAAAAGATCAATTACAAACTCATTGGCTCCAAAAAGATTGGCCTGTCCAGGTTGGAATGGGGCCGCATTGAGATTGAATTGAAACGCTATGGCTTCACTCGGCGGTGCTGAATGATTGATGTCGACCGCACACTGACTGCCGGATTGATGGGAACTGTTCTGTGTTGTCGAAGCTGGCTGCAGAATGAGCTCCGACTGCATGAGTGAGAACACTTCATCTCTGACGGCGACATCATTGCGAGGCAGCTGAATCACAACGTTCGTGGCACTCTCCAAAATTTCAGGGTCATGGATAGCAAAGGGAAATTGCTTCCAGGTCACACGGCACTGACCTTGTGGCTGCAGGGTCTGCAATCTTGCCAAATGGATAATGCTGCCACGTGTTTGCATTGCTTCATCTGAATGCGCAGAATGCATGATCTGCTCTCGTCGCTGATCTGTGCATGCCTCATCAATGACAGAGATTACAAATCCAACTTGGTCAGGCTGCTGGCCTTGCTCAATAAGGACATGAGCCTGTGTGCATTCTAGGTCACTGCAAGGTGGTTGTGGTGTGACCAGACTCAGCGAGAGACTTTGGTCCAGACGTACAACGTCTTGCCAAGCTTCTATAATCTGTGCCTTCCACTCTTCTGGGTGATCGGAGAGTCGCACAGGACGCGAGTCTCTGCAGGTCTTGTGCTCAGAGTGGTGAAGATACCATGTCGTGATGTATGCAATTCTGCCTTCTTCTTCACATTCAACAAGATCAGCTTCATCAACCAAGCGTGAGAGCCTACGGAGTTGGCCTGCTGCAAAATCGGCCCTGGGTAGCGGCCAAGTAGGTTGCCTCCCAGTTCGATCTTCTTGCCTATCATTCTGTCTGCTTGCAAATCGCGGACTGTCGCCATCACTGGGGTCTGTCTTGAGCTCCTTGATGGCATTGTGGACGTCAATTTGTTGTGCAAAGTGAAAGAAAACTTCAACAGTATTCTGCATGAGTGACAAATGTGCCTGGTCACTTCTCGAATTGCAAACACTGGGAGTCTCTTCCAGTACACCTCTGGCTATCGCAATTGCAGTCTGAGTGTCCAACTCGGGATCATCAGGTGGTGGTACCTGTATCCTGATGTAGTCGCCATGTGCTATGACATGCAACGTGTTGTCCCGCCATTCCCAAAGCCGATGATTTTTGTGCACAATGCAACGGTCTTGCAGAGCCCGGCAGTAGTCATCAAGATGCTGCAAAATCAATATGTGCGATCTGTGAAGCTGCGCGTTAACACGCATGACCTGTCTGCTGGTTGCAGCAGGAACTGCTAAACCAGATGCTGATGCATGGAAGTGCACAATGGTGTCCACAAGAACAAGCTTCTCATCAGATCCAGCGGGCACATCATGTATTGATTGGAGAATGACTGCTTCTTCAGAGATCTCATGAATGTCTGGAGGCAAAACTGCAAGTCGATGAAAAGTCCTGATTTGACTGCGCGGCAGTCTCAGGGCATGAATGATGCCATCAAGAATTGTCATATACGTGGACCATGTAGCAAAGCAATGCTCATCTCGGGCATGTAAACGATACACCAGGATGCTTTTGTCAGCACTGTGAATACTGTCATCACTTGCTGAGTCATGTGGATCAGCATCAGGGGGCTCATACGGCGGTTGTCCACCTGTTGCTCCTGGATGGCCGTTCGCATAATCCATGTCATCATCATTTTGGCATGGGCGCTGAGAATGTGAAGCAGCTTGACTACTTTCGCCACCTTGATGTTGATTGTCACTCGCTGCAGCAATGATTGGCCACGCAGTCTGGATATGCAAAACGAAAGAGTGTCCTGCACGCATGAAATGTAATTGTCTTTCATCGCAGGGAATTTCATTCCAACCAAATGTGATTAGGCAGCGATGATTGACAGTGTTACACCAATGCATGCAATCAGCCGCATTCACAATGTTGAAACCAGAAATCATGGGGCCGAAGGACGCCGCATTAGCAAATGAGAACTGCTGTGCAGAGCTTCCAGAGTAGTGCGTCGTGACAATACCTGAAAGACAATGAATCCATGTACCCTGCGACAGGATGATATCTGCATGCGTGGGTTGTGGCAACGAGCCCCTATAAGGGTCTGGAAAGGCGACATTGAAGTCAACTTCTTCATCAGGCCGGATGTGGTCTCTCCACGCACCCCGAAGGTCAGCATCCCATCTTCTCCAATCTTCAGAAAATTCCAAAATTCGATATTCAAGGTTTCTCTGATGATGGACATGATGAATGTACCAAGTACGCACTCGGAAGACGTCTTCAGTGTCAAGATCAGTAAATGCACCGTGTCGTTCAGCCATTTCGAGAAGGTCATGAACAAATGGTGGAGCATGAACTGGATCTGGGATGACATCCGGATCAGGCTCTGGCTGTTCCGCATCCTGTCGCATCTCAGGTGGAATTGGGTTCTGCCATTGGTCGATGATACGGCACCTGTCAATGGACAAAGGGTCTTCTGCAGAGTGAGGACTGGAGATACACACGGCCAAGCTTGACAGCGGATCAGCATCAGTCCTACTCAATACACACTGTAGATGGTGAATGATGGTCGAGAGATCCTCCTCGAAATTGATGTGGCAAAGCTCATTCTGTGGGATCTTGATCCCAGTCATACAAATTGTCGTGTCATGACCAACCAGAACTTCGACATCATCACAAAATCGAACACGACCGTGACAATGCGGTGGAGTTGGAAAAAGATCACGAAGAGATGAAACATTTTGACGCACAATACCATCGTAAGTCCCCAGCTCGAAAGACAATTGTCTGGCACATTCAACAGCTCCCCATTCTGTCAAGAAAGCCGGCTCAAAGGTGATCGAGTGGGACCATTTGGCAACAAGCAATTCAATGGGCAAAATGCACCTAGTGTCAACAGGCTTCAGGTTGAAGTACGAAGATGTCACTTGCAACCAGCCTAACCAAAAGGCTTGCCAGGCTCTGCTGATTCTTCTCTTGGAGCATCCTGCATGCTGGCATCTTCCTCCTTGGGATGTTTTCGCCTGGGCCTCTTTGCCAGATGAACTTCTTCTTCTGGAACTGCCATAGCTTGCTCTTGAAGCGTGGCAAGAGACTTGTTGAGATCTACCATGGTGTCGGTGATTTTCTGGGCAGATCCCGATGTGGAAGTCGTCAGGTCCCCAAACTCCTCGTCCGAGATCTCCTGAACTTGCCCAGCTGCTTCGTGTGCTTTGGCTGACGACACTTTCGCTTCCAAGAAAGCTTCTTTGGTTGTAGTGATCTGCTCTGCAAGTTTTTGTTCTTGAGCTGCAAATTGCGCTGCATACTCCTGCCATAACTTGACTGCATCTGACAAGAACTTTTTCCAGTTGTTGTGCAGTTGTGCACGTGCAAGAATCGCATCCTCGTATGCTTTGCGCATGTGCCCTAAATGGGTTGCAGCTGCATGTAGATTCCTTGTGGCTTGTGCACCATCTTTGACTCCATCCTTGATCGCAGACTCCTTCACTGCTTTCTGAATGTGCGGCGGAAGAACAGCCACGTCTTGCTTCAGCATCGTCATGAGCTCTGGGGAGACTTGCTCTGTCTGCCCCGGCATGGTGGGCGCCTTTGGCATCACCGGCATTGTGAATCCTGCTCCCATGACAGAGTTCATTGATTGCGCTGGTGGCATAGGCTGTATCGTTCCTTGTGGTGGAGCAGACCACTGTCCACCAGGAGGAGGAGGAGGCAATGGGGGCTGGCTGCCACTGTGTGGAAATGGCGCTTGCATCATCGGCATAGGCTGCATGCCCCAATTCATGAGAGGCGCTGCAGGTGGCATTTGACCTGGGTAGCCCATTGGCATCCCCATCATCTGTTGATTCGGCATCATAGGACCTTGCGGAACTTGTTGTTCTCCTCGAGGGGTCTTGTTGCCCTTGGCGCTCCTCGGCCTCGACTTCCTTCTCGGAGTTTTGGGCCGACTGTTGCCATGTGGGTCCCAATGTGCACTTTGCTGTTGCCACATTTGATTGCCTTGCCAGTGATTCGCATACTGCTCCTGATCGTTCTGCCAGTTCTGGGAGTTTTTCGCTCCATGGACATATGTCCGGTCGATAACAAGGTGCCATGGCATATTGCACGTAGGGCAATGAAGCGCTGACTGTTTCCTCAGTTGCTTGCAACCTGAGCACCTCCATGGTACATTTGTCATGGTGGACATTGCTCCTCGAACTTGACGAAGAAATGCTTGATCTCGAGAGTGATGGGACTCTAAAGTCCGTACGAGTTGCTGCAAGTGACTCCTTGACAGTGAGATGAAACCCTTCCTGAAAAGGTACCAATTGAGTCTCGCCTTCGCTCTCTTTCTGCGTTGAGCCCTCCTGACTGAATTGAGCGCCGTGGTCAAAGTCAACCTGGATGTCGTAGCCCTCTACAGACAAACCTTCGATGGACAGGACAAAGCGCAAGACAGCCAAAGAGCAAAACAGATTCTTCTTGTGCTGGATCGAAAGCAGGAAAAGGAAGATCAAAAATGCCCTGATCATACACCAAGAGAAAGTGGAAGTCCTTGAGAAGGCACCCAGGATTTATTACGGTGCTGGGACACCAGGACAGAGGTGATGCTGGTACGAAACACAGCAGAGCACAATCGCAAGGCCCAGGGCGAAACCAGATCAAGCGCAAGCGAAAGTGCGACCAATGTCCAAAAGAAATTGCCCGCGGGATACGGACAGGATCCCGCTAAGGTGATTGGAAACACGTCGTGGGGCCCTTGTGATCCAAAACCTTAATATATATATATATACATTTGATTTATATATATATATATATGTGTGTGTGTATTTATTATGTTTACATACATAGGGAAAGAGAGCCAGAGAGGGAGAGGGCGCTTGAAAAGTGCATCACTGCTTATGACTAAGCCCCAGAAACACCTGGAAAATCCATGAAAATCCGCCACTAGTAGATCAGTTTCTCAGGAAAACAGTGTTTTTCATATCAACTTTAGTTTAATGCAGGGACTGGACCAGAAAAATATGTTTGGCCACTGAACTGTCCAATTCTTGGGAGGATCACGATGATGACCGAACCCTTGCGCGAGTCCGAAGCGGCACTGTCAGTACACACGACAGTTTCTGGAGCGGATGAGTGAAACCACCAGAAATGACATCCTGGGTACCCTCTGATAATTTAACAGTTTGCTATTGAAAATGGCCATAGGAATAGTGAGTTTTCCCATGAAAAATCGTGGATCTTTCCATAGTTGTGTAAACGTTTACCAGAGGGTACCCTTTGGCAATCAAACATGGCCGGCTGGGAACAAATCCCCTAAAACACTGGTGGAACCACGGGAAACTCATCGAAGTAAACCCCTTGGGGGTTATCTTTGTCCACATCATATCACATCATGTTGCATGTATCCTGGCATTGTTTGTCTATGCCTAGACATCTACTCAAAATGCATTGCTTATAATTTGCATATATATATATAGACATACATACATACATATATATATGTATTTATTTATTTAATAATATATATATATACACATATGTATACACATACGCACAAAAATATATATATATATATATGCAACATCATTTTGGTTCTAAGCCCAATCCCAGGATGTTTGGTACAGATAGGTGCCCGTGATGATTGCTGTTCGAGTTTACAAGACATCACATGCCCACAACGTAAGGTGATTTTGATTTCTACGACATATGTCTAACCACCTGGTGTGTTTGCTTTTTAATCATTAATTTTAAGTAGGTTGAGACATTTTTGTTCAATCATGGTTTAAACCATGTTTTAAATAGTGTTTTAGTCATTTTCCAGGGGAATTGTGATAACATAAGTTTTTTCTTATCATGTGTCAATCTATCATTTTCCAGTAGCTCGAAACATGATCAGATTAGCACATGGCCAGCTTCGCGATGCGATGGCTCCAGGTTCCCATCCGAGCCCCAAGCGCGTGAGGGGCTTGAGCCTTGAGGCCTCAGAACT